TCCACATTAATCAGTTGGTAAAATATATATATATATATATACTTTTTTATCGTAAATTTTCTGAAAATAAATCTGCTTTTGGATATATATGTGAAGAAATTAGAGGAAATTTTCATTATTTTCTTGAATTTTTGTATATACTTTTATACAAAAAAGAAAAGTATATAAAATAATATGTATATAAAAAGAGGGGGGGTGATTTTTAAGGAAGAATATCAAGGAAATTAAACGATAAATTTCTTTAATTTTTTTTTAATTAGGAAATTAAGACTTTAATCATAATGACTGGTTTTCTATGAAAATCAACCACTATTTTTCTACTGAAGTCAAGGTTTTTTAAAACTTTCCAAGGCTTACCAAACTAAGAGCTTCATCAAATTAAGCTCAACCAAGAATTACTAAACCAAGATCGTCGCCAAATCAAGCTAAACTAAGGCTTAATAAACCTAGAGCTTAACCAAACCAAGCTAAAATAAGGCTTACTAAACCAAGGAAAGTAAAGAAGTTTATGAAGATCAGTCTTTATTTCATCTTAGTTTAGTAAGTCTTGTAAATGTGAAGAAAAGTATTAATAGAAAAGTTTTTAAAACTTATGAAGAATTTCTTTAATTTTCTACGAAAATTATTTAAAAAAAATTCTTATTAAAGTTACCAACATTTGATTTGAAAGAGAAAACGAGTTTTTAACCTTAAAAATTCATAAAAATACGTAACGTTCGTCTGTATGTCTGTCCATACTCCATTATTCATAAAAAATGCATTTAGATGATTACAAACGAGAATATATCTTAATAAATAAGATTATTTTACTAAAAAATAAGTATATATTTTTAAAAATTAATTAAACGTTTAGTACAACAATTTGGATAGAATTCTCTGCCATTCATTACTCAAGTTGGCTTCCGGAGATACAAAAGTAGTTACTATGGTTACGATTCACGTGATTCGACATCTTCGCACAGCGGAGATCAAAAATGGCAACGCCCATTGCACAAAAGGAATACTTATTATAGGAAGAAGGGGGAAATTACTTCTATAGAAAGTTGAATTTTAAATAATTGAAAACACACAAAAAGGAGGGAAAAAAATCATTATTTGATTTAATTTCGTATAAAAAATTATTATTATAGACCTGTTTTTTAGTATAATATCTCAAAATTTCGGGAGAGAAGAGCAAAGTTTGATAAAACAATAAGGAAATCCTTTGTTTTCTCATCAAATTTCGAGTTTGTCTTAATGTAAAATCCAATTTTTAAAGTAAGAACGTGTTTAGTGTGGGCTAAACACGTTCTTACGTTGTAAACATGGCTCTAAACACTTGTTTACTCTTCTAAATATGTCGCCACTTATGCTTAGAAGCAGTAACACTATTTTATCAGGGGGACGAGCAAGAACGTACAAACCTAAATTCACCCTGTACCATTGTGCATGAGCCACAAGCGCTGCTGATAAATATTAAACTCCTGTACAAATGTATACAGTACAATACAATACTTCTGTATAAGTGAATTTTGTCTCATTCAAATCCGTTTCCTGTACTTAATTATTCATTTATACATAAATGTAAGAAGGCCCAACCCCCCCCCCTGTGCTTTTAGTTACGCCACTGTTCAGGAGGTTTTATGTTTAAACACGGCTTTAAACGTATGTCTACTATCCTAAGTACGGCTTGGTCTCCATTGTTTTAAATGAGAACATATAATTAGTCTAGAGTATGTTCGTGTAGTATGTGTGTGTTCATTCTCATTGGTTGTCTGTTCTTCATCAATCTAGACAATGTAGTTAGATATCGAGAGCAGATATAGAAAGGTTAAAGGTCGAATATCACGATTAACTATACACAAGCTTCCGGTCTAATCCGGAAGTCACGTGATTTCAATTTAAAAATTGACTCCAGAACTAAGCTAGATAGATGACTAGCATGACTCGATTGTTATCAGGAGAAGTATGATTTACAGGGGCGAGACGACACTAAAATCCAAACCAGATATGGAAAACTTAGGGGTCAGAGACCCCGATTAACTATATACGAGGTTCCGGTCTGAGCCGGAAATTACGTAATTTTTTTAAAACTTAACTGACTATCCTTTTAAATGTATCTATGAAAATTTATTAAAATGCAAAAAAAAATTCTGGAGTATAACGAAAGATAAAATCGTATTTTTCAAGTAGAATTACACCCATTTGTGAATGAAATTTACTTTTAGCTTGCTTAATAGAAGTACAGAGTAAACATTCTTTAAAGAAATGAATAGGAGTAAATAAAAATTGGATATGTTTAAGAATTTCTCATGAAGTTGATGTTTACTATCAAGATAATGCGTTTAGTTGTATTATAATGTTCTCATACGATACCATTAAACGTATACAATAAACTATAAAAATATTAAACATATTTAAATAATAATAATAAAAAAAACGTAAGATTTAATAAGAAATTATTTATTGTGTCTTTCCATATCTGGTCTCGATTTTCTTCTATCTAACTCCATCCTGAAGATTAAAGAAGGACATACAGACAGACAGACAGACAGACAGACAGACATTTTCTTCTATACAACAGCATAAATGACGTCGGTTATTTATCTTCATTTAATAAAAAATGGCTTTTCAATGACGTGGAGTAAATGAAACGACAATTAATATTTGTATATTTTTCTTCATTTTAATATACTTAGGATGAGAGTCACGTGATAGAATCAAAGTAGGGGATGACATTTTCATGACATAGTTTCTCACTTTAGCGTGAAATGCTTAATAGGACATTTCCACATTAATCAGTTGGTGTTTACGCTGTCTGATTATATCAAAAGGTAAGTCGTCCTTTTAATCATATGATGTTATATATATATAGTAAAATAACCAGGGATTGAGGGCCTAGGCCTTCCCTTACCGTTTGTAAATAAATAAATAAAATATCAAATAAGTAGAGGAGAAAAATTGAATACAAAATCTGATGTATAATCCGCAGCACTAACGTAGTGGCTGCATCCCACGCAAGTACTGAAGGTTTGAACGTTCCTAATTCAAACCGCCCCTTAATATCGGCTCTTGTTACGCTACTGCATTTATATTCTGCCATTCCTCGTCTTTATCATTATTTTATATAAATGTAAGTACGAGAAATTACCGAAACAATTTTAGCAAGTTTTCAAAGTTTATTACTGTGTCAGGCAATGAGATAGATTATGTCGTGCTAGTTACGTTTAATTATGTTTTGACTGAAACTTTTTCGACAATTTTCTACTTTAAAACGGAAATATCGAGGGATAGAATAGTGATATCAAAACAGCAATTTCCTGACCAGAAAGGGCACTTCAAAATGCATCGAGTAAAATTCTATCGTGTGAAATTTCCTATTAAAGAACTTGGCAAAAATCTCCTCGTTGCACAGGGGTGGATTCAGGGGGGTGCATAGGACATAGCTGCATCTCTTCTGGGGATTTTCTCGCGTACTTCAAGTAGTATAAAATTTTGTAAGGCATAATGTTCTCTTTACCAGGGCTGTGGAGTCGCGTAAAAATCTACCGACTCCAACTCCGACTTTTCCTTACCTTCCGACTCCGACTCCGACTCCGGCTAAAACACCAAAACTCCACGACTCCGACTCCACAGCCCTGCTCTTTACACACCCCTTTTCCCCTAAATTTCCTCTGACTTTTCTTTAATTTCCCTGATTTCCTCGAATTTTTTCCCGATTAAACCTGATTTTTTTATTTATTTGGTTTTCCCTAATTTTCCTGATTTTTCCTTGAATTTTCTATTTATTAATCCTGATTTTTCCCTGAAAGATTTATGGATCAGCTATAGCGACATTGCATTATATCAATAAACACAATTAAATCATTACAAAAATCTTAGAATTTATCACCAAAATTTCAAATATTTACTTTTCAATAAATATTTGAATTTTGTATATAAGATTTGCCTAATATTATATATAAAAAAGTTACGTTAATATTTCTGTCTGGTCTTTTGCCAAAATTTTTCTATTCTTGGCACAAAATCTCTTATTATGTGGCGTGTTCCAAACTATTGCGTTGACTAATAAAAGTTTAATGGTGCTTTTGGTTATTTTCTTCCCCTTTTTTTTATACTTCGTTGTTAGTATTCTATATTTGTGATGTCATTAATATATTAAAATACCGCAAAAGACTTTAAAAATACTTTTTTTTTTTTTAACCTCCTCTTTAAACTTCCCTACAACAAAGAAAACGTTTAACTAGAGAACGCAATTATGCAATTTCCTAATTATTTCTTTATATTTTAATGCCTATTTTTAAATAATAATATTTGATATAATTAAGTTGTATCTAGTAGTAAATTTCGTTATGTATTTTCCATAATGGCGCTGGAATTTTCTCGAATGAACTTCTATTTAATTACTTTTTTAAATATTATCTCATTTAAGTACTCGACAGGAAATAATTCATCAAAATCTAACGGGCACAAATCAAAAAAATTAAACTTTAAAACGCCAAAATCATTTACGAATTACCAAACTTTCCGACAGATGGCGGAATTGTTATGATTTTTTTTTTTTTACTTTTTTGGAAAATTGCTAAATATAATTAATATATGTAAATCGAATAAAAATTTTTTAAATAATTTTTTTAAAATGTAAAAAGTCATTACTTAAATTAATTTTATATTATTTACTTAGAAATCGGAATTAGAAAAAAAAAATAAAATAGAAAAGTAGCAGAAGATAACCCATTCTCTAACGCGTGATGGTTACTATAGCAACTCGCAATCTTACGTGAGTTTGTTGGACTGCGCATGTCTACACTTACCTGCGTTTGGTACGTGATCGTGTTGAGTCGATTGAGGCGATAGTGTCGTCCGTACCGCACCTTGCTGTAGTTAGGCCTAGCAGTGTGGTGACCTTTCAGGTAAGAAACAAGTATAAATGAGTTTCACTTGAAATAATTTCGTTACCAATCTCTTACAGAGAATAATTTTCGTCTGTAGCGTGTAATTTAGATAAGTAGCGGTTAATTCTTTTGTTTTTTCAATATATTTTTTTTTCCTGAAAGTTGTAGAAGTGAAAGTGTAGGAAGAAGAATTACTAAATATGGTAGAAAGTATCTTATGAAACTATACGTTTAAATGCCTATCGATTTTATTTGTGGCCTGTAAGTAGTAGCTAATGGAGAAATTTTTGCCTGGAAATTACTGGCAACAGGTTTTAATCAATTTTTGGCATAGTAGCCTGCTTTATCACATATCTGAACGTACTGTAACCAAGTGCTGGATTTCTCACTAGGCACGTGAGGCACTCCCCTAGAAACCTCTGATCTCTGAGACCCAATAGGCAATGCGAGGAACACGCTTGTAGGTTCTTGATCTTTGGAACGCAATAGGCACGCGTCCCTAGAATCCTCTGGGACACAATAGGTATGCGCCTAGAGGTCTCTGATCTCGGAGACCCACTAGGCACGCGCCCGTAGAATCCTCTGGGACACAATAGGTATGCGCCTAGAGGTCTCTGATCTCTGAGACCCACTAGGCACGCGCCTCTAGAATCCTCTGGGACACAATAGGTATGCGCTTAGAGGTCTCTGATCTCGGAGACCCACTAGGCACGCGAGACACATGCCTAGAAGCTCCCGATCTCCAGACCCACTAGGAGCGTATGGAAAATGGATACCGTCCCGAAATTGGAAAGAAAAATAAAACTGTATTAAATTTGCAATTGTATATTATAATTTATAAATTTATAGCTACATTTATTAGTTTATTGTTGTGAAATTATGTAGATGAATGTCCAAATCTTCCGTGTAAAATATTATTAATTAAAACTATACGTACAGTACATGGTATATACGTGAAAATGTATATACCATGTACTATTAAAACTATACGTACAGTACATGGTATATACGTGAAAATGTATTAATAATATCTTCGATTATATTATTTGAAAAGAAAAAAAATGTACAAAAAAATACATCGCTTTAACATGACGTTTCTATTATATTTCTTCACATGCTATAAAAAAGCAATTAATTATGTTTCTCTTGGTTAGTTTTAAGAGTTTTACGCTGGTTTAAGTTTGTGCTATTGAGGCTATTGATCTCTTATGTTTAATTTGGTCGGATGAACATAAAGAAAAAAAAAAGTGATAAACAAACTTTACGTCATAAATTTTTGCTTTCTTTCGCTCTGTTTATCGATAATGATTTTAATTTATATTTTCTCATCATTTAAATAATAATTAATAAAATATATATATATATATTAAACTGTAAATCGATCAATACGCTTTTTCTCCATACGTTTTTCCCTTTTTTTGCTTGAATTTTTTGAAAATTTCAATGTTTTTTACTGTCTAAAAATGGTAAACGAAGCTCATTTTCTTCTTAAAAACTTCATCTGAAAAAGCAATTTCCATCATAAAAGCTGTTAAAGTTAAACAAACGTTTGTAAAAATAAAAATTTTTATAAATTTCTAATTTTTTTTATTATTTTAATAACATAAAAATTACATTATTTACTATGTATTTTAAAAGAAAAAATTTAATAATAATAAATGTAAAAAATTATTTTCTGTTCTAATATTCTCTCGAGTAAGAATATCACTTTTAATGTTTATTAATTAATATAAAAGGTTTCTTTTTTAAAGTTAATAATAATAATTATTTTTAAAAATCAATTGAAAATATATTTAAAAAATTTTTCACAACAATTGTCCCTATGGATACATGTTATTAAGAAAATTAATTCTAATTTAAAAAATATTTAAATTTATTTTAAAAGCAGAGAAAATAAAGTGAAATACTTATTAGTTAATGGAATAAGGCAATAAATTGTAGATCTATAAATTTCTACTGTCGTTCGTCTGTCTGTCCTTCCTTAATCTCAAGAACGGAGTTAGTTAGATGAAATTTTAGACTAGATATAGAAAGCGTAGGAAGAGTAAACCCCGATTAACTGTATAATGACTTCCGGTATAAACCAGAAATCACGTGATTTCAATTCAAACATTTCCCCCAAGAACAGAGTTACCGCACGACTCTATTGTTATCAGGAAAAGTATGATGTACCGTACAGGGGCAAGACACTACTACTATGAGATGGAGAGCGTATATTTTAAATTAAGTAAATTAATAAAATATGATTAAAAACACCTCACAATAATATTTGCTCGTTTTATATAGATTATTATTATTAATTTTCATGCATGTACTTAATAGAAAATGTACATTAAACGTTAATTTTTAAAATTTAAAGCTGATTAAGAAACGGCATTATTGTATTTTAAGAATTAACTTTATAATATTGTCCTTAGCGGAAAAATACATTTGACATTTTCAAAACAGTGAACCTGTTTAAAAATGCAAATTAACTATTCTTTCGTCGTATATAAATTTATATAATACAACTATTTTGGTTATATATATATATATTTTATTTTCTGACATAAAACTTTTAAAATTACTGCACGCTTTTTTAAAGGCACGATATAAATAATTATTAATTTTATTGTTAAATTTTATGTGGATGCTAAAAACATTTTTTAATATTCACAGAGTAATTTATTTTATTATTTTTAAAAATTAATACGTTGCATATTTTATTAATACTTTGCCACGTGTTATATACAACAGAGGGAAAGTATGGCGATCGGTCAAAATGACCTCTCTAAATTTTCACATTTTTGGACTTGAAATACCTCGAAAATTTTTAAAATTTTGTAGGGGGGTTTGTGTATTAGGGACATTGATACTATTAAATTTTGGTGGTTAGAAGTTAAAGGGTAGGGAGATATAGAGGGGACACGTGTCATTTCTTCAGTGTGGTCGGAATTAATGAAGATTTTACTCATTAACATTTACAATTTCTTTTTTAAATATAAAACTCATCCCTACCCTCAAAATTAAGCTTTCTGCCATTTTATAATAATTAACAATACAAAAAAGTTTTTAAAATAAAATCCCGTAACAGATAGCGCCACACGCAATTTTAACTCTTACCGGAAAAGTTATTCAACTCGATTGATTTTGTTTTTTAAAAAAGACATTTACTAGTAGCATTAAATTAGTAGAAAACGAGCAATTATTTATTGTGACATCATCACAATGCCAGACTGCAATTTTTAATCATATTTTTAAAATGTATTTAATTTAAAATATATGCTTTCCACCTCAAATTAGTATTAACTTGTCCCTGTAAATCACTTTTTCTGATGACAACAGAGTAGTACCAGTCATCTATTGTGGTTCTAGATAAAAAATTTCAACTAAAATCACGTGACTTCCGGTCAAGATCAAAAGTTCCTGAACAGTTGATCCGGGTCTTCGGGCTATATTCTTTGCATATATGGGCTCGATTACTATTTACCTAACTCCATTTTCGAGATTAAGGAAAGACAGCCAGACAGATGCCAGTGGGAATTTATTAATGGGCAGCAATTTTTTTAAATTGCAGCCCAAAAATAATATAAAATTGTCATTTTGATCCGTTTTAAATTAAGATGAAACAATTTCTAAATAGAAGCTGTTGTAAGTGTAATTTTAAAATCTTAATACATTTTTTTCGGTAGGGCTGTAAAATTTATAATTTAAAGTCCTGGTTTTAAAAAATTTTGTAGACATGCAAACCTCCTTTAAACGTCCATATAACAATACTTTTACGATCTCTTACCTGAGGTATAAGGGAACCTCTTGGGATAGCGGACACATTTTGAGAACTGCTTCCATAGTAATCTAATTTAATGCCGTCTAGACCAGAGTTTAATTATATTTACTGATCTGAGATGAGGATGGAAGATATTCGATAACTTTAAAGGGATATTGAAAATTGGGCATTTGTATTATGCATTATTTATATATATACATTTTTTTTTTATTATGTTTGAACTGGGCTGATGGAATTCCCTCAAATTAGCAAACTGTGTGAATTTTAATGGAACTTGGCAACTTTTTCTAATAAATATTATCGATAGAAAATATCGTTTATATCGATAATCTTTATTGGGAATTATCCCTATATCAAAAGTAATGGCCGTGGTTCGAATTGATGTTATTGGGCTGCAATTTGAAAAATATTGTAGGTCTATAAGTTTCCTGTCGGGACTATCGTCCGTCCGTCTGCCTTTCCTTAATCTCGAGAATGAAGTTAGATAGATGAAAAAGGAGAATAGATATGAAAACTATACGGCAAGAGGGAGCCTCCGATTAACCGTATACATATGCCCGGTATAAACCGGAAATCACGTGATTTTAATTCAAAATTTTTCCTCTGAAAGGTGTTAGATAAATGACTGGCACAACTCTATTGTTAATGGAAAAGTATAATGTACAGGGGCAAACCAATACTAATTTGAGGTGGAGAGCATATATTTTAAATTAAATAAATTAAAAATATGATAAAAAAAATGCTGCCCGGCATTGTGACGATGTCACAATAAATAATTGCTCGTTCCGTTTATAAAATTATTTTTATACTTAATTACAAGCAGAAATTATTGTGATTCCTTGTCACAATGCCAGGCTGCAGTTTATTTTATTTAAAATATATGCTCTCGATCTATAATTAGTAACGTCTTTCCCCTGTACGGTACATCATACTTTTCCTGATAACAACAGAGTCATGCCGGTCATCTATGTAACTCTGTTATGGGAAAAATGTTTGAATTGAAATCACATTATTTCCAGTTTAGGTCAGAAGTTCCTGTGTAGGAGACTTCGATTGTCAATCGAGGTCTCCTACCCCGATGTTTTCCATTTCTTGTCTCATCTTTCATATATCTAACACCGTTCTCGAGATTAAGGAAGGACAGACAGACAGACGTACTACAGTGGGAATTTATAAGTGTATAATTTTCTCAAATTGCAACCCAATAAAGATTATTAATTATTAGATACATGCTAGGAGAGGTTAGTGTTAA